CCCCAAAACCCCAAAACCCCAAGGGCCATTTATAGACAAAATTCTTAATATTTTTAAAATCTAAAAAATTACTATATATTTACATATTTAGGATAATACAAGATGTTGTTTCTTGATAAATAAACACTAGAAATCTTACAGACATTTGATAAAAAGTTGTATCCAATAAATTATTCAGATCTTTATGAGTACTATTTGGATAATGAATTCATTCTTTACAAATACTAAAATGAAAATACTTTTAATTTAGAAATAATATAATATCTCTAAAAATCTAAAATTAAGAAATTATATTAAATAAAAACTAGTGAAAGTAAATTTGCCATCTTTTTGGATAATTAAAATGCTAATTCTTAGTTTATGATTTTTAATTCAGAGTCATTTTAATTGGTAAATCATATTTAACTTGAAAATATAGATTGTGAAACTATTTAAATAGACATTGAGTATAATAGATTTTTTTATAGAAATGATCACAAAGATTTTTACTATTACAATTTTAATACAAATCTCTACTAAAATCACAATACTGCTGTACAGAAGCACCAAGTTTAATAAGTTTACAATAATGGTTTTAACTTCAATTTTCAAAACTATCTAATATTTGTATCATATCAAATTGATATAGTTATAATATTTGATTTGTTTTCAGGAATAAGGAGAGAAATAGATAAAATGTAATTATATAAATTTATGGAACTTAATGAAAATTATTGTGTTGATTTTAATGATGAAAATCTAGCAGAAAATATTAAGAGTTTGCTAAAATTAGATTAGGAAATAGTCGATAACATATATCCAGAAGATGTCATCATCAGTAGAAAAGATAACTACATCTTCATTAATTCTAATAAAAATGTAAATTGGAAAGAATTGAAAAAAAGATATGGCTATTAATCTGAGGGAAATACAGATTATTGTATTATGCAAAATATAAATAATGATAACTAGTATGTGCTTGAACTATTGTCAGATTAATCAATTATTTATTTTGATAAAAACTCACAAACAATAAAATAGATTGACTTGATAGATAAAATTTAAAATTTTTAATATAGTCGTCGCTTAGTGGGAGCACTTTTTAATGAAGAGCTTGGTATTATACTATTTGTAGCTAGTTATTGAACTTATCTTCTTGATATTTATAATAGAAAAAGAATTTAAGAAATTCAAGGTAAAAAATATTGTTCATCTATATTTATAGCCAAAAACTATGTCTAAGTTTATTCTGAATTTGTTGAAACTGTTTTATTCTATAATAATAAAAAACTAGATAAAATTATAGAAATTAAATACCCAAAATGGTCATCTAATCTAATAATTGAATCATATCTTTAAAAAAAAATAAACCAAAAAACCTTTTACAGATTAGAAAAAATAACTCATGATGAAAATGATTAAGCTATTTTTATGATATAAAGTTCATTTGAAGATATGTTTAATGAAAAATTACTTTGCTAACCTATTTTCCAAGCATTTTATTTTGAACTTGCTTAAAAAATAATAATAGACTCAAGTCAGACTAAAATTTTTATAAAAGGTGAGTAATAAATGGCTGGGTATTTTGAAATAGACATGACTGATCAATTGATAGATGATTATTTATAAATAATGAACTAGAACAATGAGCAAATTATAAAATAGATAACTTCTAATCTGAGTAAATATTTTAAATTTATAGCTGGCATTGGAACTTGTTTCGGAATTTTTTAAAATAATTTAGTTGCACTTGAATGCATTGCAAAGTAACTATCTTTGAGAGATCGATAATCAATACCTATTTTAATTTGCTAAAGTATGTTAGGTGGGGAATCTCCATTAGATTTTTCAGTAAAAGCAAACTAATAAAAAATCAGTAATCTATTGCTTACAATGTTAGTAAAATACCAAGATCATATAATGTTTAACAAACTAGTTGATAAAAACTTTTGCCATTTAATCAAGCAATAAATTGACTTACAAGAATATTTTGAGAGCAATTTATCTAATTATTGGATAAATAATTCATAATTTCCCAGATAGCATAATGATAATAGAGAATTCATAGTTGGAGTTAATCTAGACAGTCCCATAGATGTTCAAGAAAAATATGAAGAATTGTTTGGGGACAAATTATCTAAATTAAATGAAGATTTAACAACTTTAGTCTCGATTGAATACCATATGATTAATTTACCAATGACTTTGAAAGATAATCCAACATATTTGATGAAAGAGCTAAGCAAAACAGAAAATTCAGAATACTTTGAGAATAGAATCATTTAGACAATTATTAATTTTAAATGGAATTAATATACT